GTAACTCGATGTATGTAACTCAATGTCTGTGACTCCAACAAAATCTTGTAATCATATATAAAAACATGCACCACTGTAGGTGTGAACACAACTTCAAAATAAATTGATACTCACCTTCTTTGATTTCTCTCTTGGGAGTTAGTGGGTTGAGTTTCTAATACTGGCTGGGAGTCTGGAACTACTTCAATATTCTCAGTATCGTTTGGATTCTGCAACACAGCTATAAACGAAAAATGACAAATTCAGAAAAGATAGAATACCATATAATATTGTTTTTGACAGCATGTACGGTAAAAATCTTTAATGAATCAAAGCATGTACGAGTATGCTGTCTTTTGAGATTAAAATCAAGTACTGTAAAATAACTAATTTTCACTGGGTTTAAATTTCGCTGATTTACCATTTAGGGATATTCATTGGGTTTTAAATTCACGGTTTTATTATTTGGATAATGTGTTCTATGCTAAATTTTACATATTAACAGGGTTTTAATTTAGCGCATTTTCCAGTCAGCGAAATAAGCAAAATTAAAACCCAGTGAATAATTAATCCTTTTACAGTATTTCATTGGCGAGTATGAATTTCCTTATTAGCCTTTCATAGATAGGGAATGACCAGTGTTGTTTGTTTGTAAACTATTTTCTCTTACTACATCACTTCAACAATATGAAATACAAAAATAAAATAAAATTTTACTTCTGACCTTTTCAATTGAATTTTTTTAAACACTGTAAATAATATTTATTTTGTACCTTGTGTTGGTAAAGACGTTGGTTGTCTGAATGAATCAGTAGTGCTTGTAACAGACAGCTCACTGGGACTTCCATTACGTGTACTCACAGTCACTGGTATTTGTTGTTCACGTTGTTTAGATACAACAGAGCTGATATCACTAGTTGCATCACTTGTATCTGTTGCAACTAACTGCAATGGTGTTTTGACTCTACCACTTGGTCTGGGTTTTGCTGCATCAGGTGTCTTAGCAACTGATAGTTCTGTGCGGAGTATAGCAATATGCAAGTGAATATTATGAAAACTTCAGATGCCACACATCTAAATCAGGCCAGTATAGCTTCACATTAATTTTCCCGTTCACCCCAAACATGTCTACATAGATTTGTTTTTACACTCTCAGACAAAAAAAAAAGCAGCAGTAAATATGCTACAATGTTATCAATAGAAAGCCTTTATAACTCATATAATTACATGTAATTATTAGATGGGCCTTATTGGTGCTAGAGCCACTGTGACACTTCAGTTTTTAAACCACAATGAGTCTTGTGTTGACCTCATTTTAAAATACACACACAGGGGAAAAAAAGAAGAATGCTTACCAGAGTCCGGTACAGATACCCTATAGGATTTTGTGTGGCCAGCGTTACCAGACTGATCAGTTTTGGACATTTTTAACTTGGCAGCAGAGTTACTACTAGGTGTAATCATAATTTCTCTCCCAATGGATACTTTTGGTTTTCTAGAACCACTCAACTATATAAATCATAGAAACAAGAAATATACCAGTATATCATTATTAAGTAAACCAGAAAGTAAGTACACCAAATTTTATAGAATTTTATTTGATGCAGAAGTATTGCCATATGTTGACAAGTTACCTGAACTGTGAAAGTTGTATTCAAAAAAAGAAGCATTTGACTAAGCCGATCCCAACTTGAGCACCACCGATGTTCTTTTGTGTGCATTTCGCTCAAAATTTTCACACACAGCTTTTGATAGCAAATTTTGCAGCCATAAATGCTCAGCTTTAGCATATTTAATATGGTCAGAATATAATACTTAATATTCAATAGTTTCTTTGTCTGAAGTTGGTGGTTTATTTCCCTGGCAGCTAGAACACTGTCAGTTTTGATGAACCACTTGGCAATAGTATCAAGCGTTTCTCGATACACTTCACCAGAGACTAAAAAGAGATGTCAGTGAATAATCACCTAGCAGTGCTGCCATGGAGGTGAATAATACTACCGGTACCAATGTATCTTCAAGTTATATTAGAACCAGTTTAAATTAAAATATGATGCTGGTTAAGCGCAAGTTAAAAAGTACATACCTGAGCAGAAGAATGTTGTTCTGAATCAGAAAGGCTATTTACTGGCAATGATTGTCTTTTTGGTGACTGCAAGGAATACATTACAATACATTGTTATTACAGTTGAAGTATCATTCAGAAAAAAAATACTGCTATAAAAATAGATCAAATTTTTAGACTTGTTTGCTTGTTGAAATATGCAAATATGATACTTTATCACCTGATCATGATACATAATATACAAGTAGTAGTAGTGCCATTCAGTGTGAAATATCCCTAACTGATATTTCACACAAAATGTAGATATATGCATGATAAACATCCAAATGTGTGGTCACAAACAGTATGCTGACAACACCGAATCGTATGGAGGTTCGTTTTTTAATGATGCGATACGAGAATTTTAGACTGGATAACAATAGTTACTTGCAAGGTGTAATAAAAATGGTGACTGAAAGTTTATTATTGATAAAAAAAAATCACGAAGCTCAAAATATTCCTGCTTATTTTTAATATGGCAGCTGTAACTACAAATGCATGTTCATGAATATCATTCACTGCCAGTATAGTTTTGTAAAACTATGATTTCTTAATCATTTTGACATGTTGGTCATGTGATAAAAAGGTTGTCCCCTGATATTACATATTTGTAGAGCTTTTGGCGTTATGGGCTGTATCACTCAATCACCTTTGGTTCCTGGATAATACAGGCCCATGACGTCACTCATATCAACCAGCATACTTAAGTGACACCATAATAATATATGCTTGCATGTTTAGGACCCTCTGATCCTAAGTAGACTTCAGAATTATGTTTATACTTAAATTCCTAAAAATATGAGAGTAAAGTACCTGTGGATATGTGGGGTCTGAGACATCACCACTGGAATCTGCTTTGTGTACAGCTAAATTATTTGATGCTACTGACACTTTATGTCTCTAGCAAAAAAAAATCATCAACATAAAGTAGAGTTAGTATCATTATTTTGATGCTTTGAGCAATTTTAACTGGGTTTTTAATTAATGAACCTGGCAGAGAAACAACAAAGCTCTGTTATTTTACATGTTCATGTGGATTTAATTTAAAAAGAAACAGATATTCTCAACAATATTCACACCTTGTCTGCTGAATATGCCTACAGGGATAGCAAGAAAATTATAGTAGCCAGTTAAGCAATGCACACCTATAAGACTTCTTCTTGAAAACTGCCAGCTCAATTTGATACCAAGTATAAAAGTAACTAAACTAGTAGTTTTCAAGAAGTAGTCGAAAATAACATTTTTTACCAAAAATGACAAAAATAGAGAATTGAAGATAGTTTCATGAAATGAACAAATCTGACAGAGTTCCACCCAAGGTACCTACATAAAAAGAATATCAAAGCAATTGAGGTGGTAGTTTTGGTAAGAAGGAAATGTAATTGCCGGATAACAGATGGTGACGAACAATCACCTATATGAACAGCTCCGCTCTGTCATTTTAGATTAGCCAATTTTGGACCTAAAACTTGGTGCTCTCCTAATAGGTGATTTTCCGTACAATTGCGAGATCTCGCGAGATGCATGAAAGACGCGCGTCGAACGTCTGCTGCAAAAATCGAACGATTTGATTTTGAACTAGAATTTCTTTATTTCGCAGCTTACATTGACCGGCCGATCTTCGACAGAGGAATATTGCTTCCGAATACCCTCACTTAATCGAAATTGCCTATCATCAAATGTGGACAGCACATTATTAAGCATGGAAATGTCCCCGAAATACTTTCGCGTTTGTCGAATCCCACGCGATGTTTGATGCGACTACGACGCTATGACCTTTGTTTGTCCTGTTTTTACGTTCGATTTCACGCATAACGCGTGATTCTCGCAGTGTACGGAAAATGGTCTATTCCAATGTTTAATTCCTGCGACACATTCTAATCAAGTATAAATTTGGACTCAGGCCACGTCTTTTGAAAATGGCTGGAAAGCTAGAAGAATAATAGTCATTGTGTACTAAGGATACTTCACCACATAACACATGTCAATAGGGTTGTATGGGTTGCGTACCTTGGAAGTTGTATGTAGTTTTTGTAGTCCAAAACAGATGGTGGCTATTTTAATCAATGGATATTGTTTTGGAAAAGCCAATCTCAGTACTCTGCTATGTGTATTAGGTAGAAATGTGAATAGTTCATTGGCATCCTTCTTTAGAGTTATCATCAATTCGCTGCAATCAACGCTATCTACAGAATGCAAACACATAAATATCAGATTTAGTTTCTCCTGTGAGTAAATGTTAGCTAATCAATCTAGCTAATAATATCTTTTGTAATCATTTTCTGTGAGCACCTTGTATGTAAATAGATGAAAATTTAGGCAAATTTGAGCTGCCATGTTTGTTTTTATTATTAGAGAACGCTTACAACCCGTAAGCAATCCATATTTTGAATTCACATTTTCTAATATACTAGGATGCAAATACCCAGTGCAATACCACAAAATTATAGCACACTGTAAATTATGGCAACAGATAATATACGGTACATCATTGCTCACTTTATGTATGATATCAATACTACTAGTTTGTAGTTCATATCTAAAGAACATTGCAATAGAAATCATCTGCTCAGTGGTTTGCTGTATAACAAGACTGATGTTGTTGGGATATAGAGTCACAATAGAATTGTCAAGTCAGGTCATCTCGGTCACTGCTGGGGTATTTAAAGAAAAATAAAGATTGTACGTGACCGCAGAGAGTTCTGAAGACACAAACTAAACTGTTGTTGCACTTGATTTCCTTGGTTTTCACACTTATTTTGCTTACAAAATGTGACTTTCATTTCACAAAATTATAAATTCCAGAAACTACCGGTATAGCAAAATGTTTTTTAAAATCACTTTTAATTTATCAATATATAATTTTCTTTGGAACGCCTGGGAATAAGCATAATTAGTTGCATCATGACAAATTACTGGGCGACATTGACATTCAGCTTAGGGAGAACACTGCCACTCTTTGGTGGAGATACAGCTGGCCTATGCAGAAACACACTCAATAGGTAAAATGACAAACACTGAAAGTTACAACCGTCTGAGGTAAATAAAGCATCACACACATACATATCTAACTGATTTTCACAAATTGAAAGTTGAAGAGTTTACTATCACGAGCCAGAGAAATCTTGCAGTTTGACACTCAAAATTCATGCAACTAATTAGTGTATATGTTCAATATCACATAATTTACATACATGCTAAACAAGGTACTGTAAAATCTGTATTAGAAACCGCGGCTTCTATTAAAATGGTACAATGCAATAGAGGGGATGCGGCTTCTATTAGAGCATCTACACATATGAGAAATGATGAATTTTTGGTTCTCAATTATTCAAAAAGAATGGGTGCGACTTCTATTAGGGATGCGGCTTCTAATACAGATTTTACGGTAACTTCAAAAATATCACTGTAATATATGCATGAGAGTCTTTACAAAATTTATGTATAATTACCTCCAACACTGTATTCTTCAAAGTCACTTTCTCCAACTGCAATGGTTTCCCACAAATCACCAGGCTAAGACAAATCATAATACAAGTTCATGAGCGCATAGCACAATTTAAGTAGTCGGTTGTCATCAATACTCTTTATCACCTACTGCAAATGATTCATTTTTGCAACTAGAAATGTTCATTAGTTCACAATTTGAGCATGTTTGCAAATATAAACTTTCATGAAATCACTGTGACTTCCTAGCTTAAGGATTCCAGTGAAATATTCATTGTTACAATATTTGATGATTTCCCCCTGTGTTAAAGCTATGGTACAGTAAACAAAGTTAGGATTAAAAGAAAGAATCATTGTTTGAGGGCGCTCACAAGATGCTGAGAATTTCTGAGAATCAGCTATG